TATCGAGATATAAAGACGCTCAGATCACATTAGAAACCTCTAAAATTATCAGTGTTTCCCTACTATATTATGCATGTATTATACATATAAACCTTCCTCTCGAATCACTCTATCTTTTAAAAAAAACGCATCAAAATCCGTTGCGTAGTTTTAAAGATTTAAGCATACATAGGGACAGAGAGCGGGAGAGCGACTTTGTTTTATACTATGTAGTGATGTTGCAAATTTGTTAAAATTTCCTTTCGCGAATCATATAATTCATAATCCAAACAATCTAATTTACGATGCGGTTCATTAGCCGTTCTCTGACGACCTTAAAATTTTTAAGTCTGCAAACGAAACTTCGAAGGTCTGCTAACGGTACAGAAGTTTATGACCATTTTGTGTAACATGGTACAATAGCTCCAGCAAGTTTTCCTAAAGTCGGTCACTGGGCACGTGTTTAGATTAAACCTGTTCACCTCTATTCATTATTAACATCTATTACACTATAATAAAACGTACTATTTTGCATTCAACAGGGATAATGCGGTGACATACATGCATGGTGTACGGTTAATAACAACGAAAGTGAAAATTCGAAATCTTCTTTATAAAAGCAATAACAATTAAAATTTACTTTATTTTTATTTATAAACAGTTTTAATAGCACTTACTTTTCCTTTATAAGCAGCTGCTAGACCTCCGGCAGTGACTTCCAAAATCAGGATGATGACCAAGCAAATTCCGTACTGAAATCAACAAAAGGAAATCAATCAAAATCGTGTTACTAAAAAACGATTTGCATAATCAGCAACGAATTAAACTGTGAGCTACTACGATAAAAATAAAAGCAATATCTCCTTAAAATAGATGTTTACTTGTTGCTGTTGTTTAACGATTCTTGGGTACATAAAACAAAAACAATTCTAAGATGAATTATTTATATCAAAAACCCACAAATACATATACGTATAAGTGCCATATTTTGCTAAAAACCATTTAAATAACGAACAGTTACCTGGTTTTTCAATAACAATTTTCGCAGTAAAAAATATAATTAATTCAAAAAATGTTGCTAGACATTAAACAACTTATATTATTAAAAAATTTGAATATAAACCACTTGAATTAAAAAGAAATACCACAACACTGTACATATTCCTTTTTATTTTTATTTTGGTCCAAAATCCAAAGAATTCGACAATAGTTGTCGAATTCTTTGGATTGTAAACTATTTACAATAGTTACCTTTATATTTTTCTCATCATTCATGCAAATATTTTTAAATAAATAAACACATATAACAATAGATAATTGCAATTACACTGAAAATAATACAAACCTGCCATATATTTCTTTATCATACAAAAAAACAATTAATTGTAATTGACTTTCACATTCCATAATTTTATCTTGGTTTTACGAATGAGCAACTATTTCTACTACTATTCCAGACAATAAAAAAAAATAATTACTGGAGTAATTTGCATATGCACGAACCGATACACTAATAATTAAACTAGCGTTTCTCATTCTTACGTAAAGGAAAATGTTGTAATTCCGAAAATGTTACGTATATAGCTGTTTAGGAAAAGGGAAATGTAGACTAACCATTTCATATGTAAAAATAGAAAAACCCATTAGTGCAAATGTGTAAAGAATACGAATGACAAACCCTTGATATAACGATCTCTTTAAGGAATTTCACTTATTGTAAATAATAAAATTGTTTTCTTCCCGTAAATTTAAAGTTCCATTTTACAATCGTGAGTGATGCCAACGGAGGTCATATAGCTGGTTCATAAAAAGAATAAACAGAACCTTCGATACCCAATAAAAGTTCAAATTTTTAGTTTAAAGTCAACCTTGGACTCAAGGCGGATGCAACATTGATTATAATTAATTATGTAGTGCAGACCATCAGTCATTTAAATAACTACGAGATGGATGATACAACTAATTTGTATTGGTATATGCAATGTGCTTATTCATTATTAGAATGAGGGATATGAATTTTAAATACTTTGCGTTCAAGTGGTGAATGAGCAATATTAATAATTAAAAATGTTGTTAATAATGCTCTACTAATAATTGAGCAATAATATACGAAGTGATATCATCATCATAAGGTCGTCAGTCCTAAGACTGGTTCGACACGTACCTGAACTCTTTCCTACCCTGAGCTAAATTTCGTATTTCCCTAAAACTAGAACAGCCCACATCCTTAACTATTTGCGAACAATAATCCAGTGTAGGTCTACCTCTACCCCTTCTAACTCCTGTTTCTGCCTCTAATATGTCTCTGACTAGACTTTCATGCCTAAGAAGGTGTCCTACCAACCTATCTCGCCTATTTTTTATTGACTTCCATAGAGTCCTCTGTTCTCCTATTCTTTCCAATACCTCTTCATTTCTAACCTTTTCTACCCACGATATCCTCATCATCCGCCTATAACACCACATTTCGAACGCTTCTAACCTTTTCTTTTCCGCCGCTCCCACTGTCCATGTTTCGCACCCGTACAACGCCGTGCTCCAAACATACACCTTTAACAACCTTTTTCGAATTTCTAAATTAACCGTTCGCGAGCATAGAAGTGACTTCTTTTTATTAAAGGCGACACGACCCTGCGCTATCCTCTGCTTTATATCCCTACTACTCCTTCCATCCTGACTTATCTGACTTCCTAGGTATCTAAAATCAGCCACTTCTTCTAATTTTTCGTCTCCTATCTTTATATTCGCTCTTTCCCTACTTTTTCTTCCCTTGCATACCAGTATTTTAGTTTTACTTTTATTTATTTTCATACAGTACTGATCTGTCAGTACCGCTTCCATTTTATTTAAAGCTATCTCTAGGTCCTCCTTGCTAGATGCTAATACTGCTATATCATCTGCAAATCTAAGCATACTAATCTTTTGCCCTTGCACATCTATCCCTACAGTTGTACTGTCTTTAATGATGTTGATGGCGTCTTCGATGTATAGATTAAAAAGTAGCGGTGACAGTGTGCATCCCTGCCTGACTCCCTTCCTAATATTTACTTCTCTACGTTGCATCCCCAGCTCTATAACTGCCTGTTGCTCTTTATACAAACTAAGTATAACAACTGATTTTTTTGCAAAACCTTCAGCATCTAAAGAACCCTTGGTGAGGCGAAACAATAAATTGTAAAGGGGTGAACAAATAAATAGTTTTATATTATTTCGAGTTAATAAAGAATAATGGTAATAATCTGAAATATTATCCAATAATATGCTAATACATATTTGAAAACGCCGCCTAATCATATGTTAATAATAACTTGTCTTATTATTTATTAAATATTATTGTTATTTTTCATCTTCACCTAAAAAACATAATTAAAAAATCAATATTGCAAACCGAGTAAAAGTAAAAGTACACGCCAGATAATACAGGAAAAGACGATAATAAGAAATGACGAAACTGAACGTATTTAGCATGTTCGTCGATGCGTGTGCGCGATTAAAAATCAACATGGGCAAATAAAAATCAAAAACCATGGTAAAATTTTACGAAACTTCCTTGAGAACACGTTAAATTGTCTGTAAGTACGTTTTTATTCGAGACAAATAATTAAATTTCGTGCATAACGAAGAAATTATTGTACTTTGTAACTATCTGTACGTATAATATAAATAAATAAAATCTGTATAAATTTGATAAAACCGTTGTGGTCTATTGTTTGTATAAATTCGCCACACGTATACCAAAACAAACAAAAATACATCACTACTATACATTAATTCAGATTGGATAATTATTTCAAATTGTGTCTCCGAATTTATTAAAAAAAACTCCTCGTACAACGAATTGTGGTCCTTCTGAAGAACAGAACGAGATAACGGAGATCAAGGATATTAAGGAGTGAGTAGTCTGCAAATTAGATAATAAGGGATGTTTTCCCAAATTTTTGTATCCTTCTCATACGACGCGACAAACAGTCTGCAGATAGTCCAGACTATTATAAAATGAAATTAAAAAAATCTACACATTAAATTTTCTTGGGCTTTTGGTTTTCCTTCGACGCTACTGTATCCTACTTTAATGGAGAGCAAAGATAAGTTAAAAGAAAGAAACAAAAAAAAAACAGTACCTATAGCGATATGGTTTTGGCTAATTGCTACTGGTTTGCGCCGGATATTAAACAATAGGGTGTTACACAGTGCGTACTTAGGCGAAGCGATAGGCGACTGGCTGCCTGGCTACACATGAATTAATCGTTCGCTTCGCCGTGGTAATCCACTTCCTTTGACTTTTCCTTTTTACCGAAACGATCAAGAAACAAAGAAGACACGACGAGAGGAAGTCGTAAATTTCATTTACAGGGTGTCTCACGGTGACCACCCATTAGAATATTTCGGAAACTACTTCGTTTCGAATTTTGAAAATTTAGACAATAACGTTATTGGCAGAGACGAGATTTATTTGAATTTAAAATGCAAATGCAAAATAAAAAAATTAAAATACCTATTTTTATCTTGCATTTAAATACTTTTTTGAGAAAAGCGTTTTGTATTTTATTTAAAATACTTTTCCAAACATATTTTCTATTTGTAAAATGTAAAATATATTTTTGTCGTTAAAAGTTTTGGTAGTATCACTGATCAAACATTATATAAAATGATGAATGAAAATTGTTCACATGGACCCTTGAAGGTATTAGAAATTTAAAAAGGTGACAACGAGATATTCCATGAATGCCTTATAATCTTTAACTGAAGAGAACCCAAAAAAATCTAAACTCCTTGGAAATGGATAATCTAAAATATTGAATCGATATTGTTTTCCGGGTTCAATGTCATGGAATTTTGAAGTTCCAAATTGATATCACCACCTGTCAAATCACCACTTATCGTACCTTTCGCAAGCAATTACGAAAATCTATGAATTGCGACAAAAAAGCCCGCAAAACAATAACAAATTGTGTAAAACTGAAAACTACAAGATATTGTGGTGTGCTAATAAACGCCTATAGTACAAAATTCTTAGAAAACGGTTCGAAAAACTTCACTTGTTAGATAAATTCAAAGCTAAACGGAAACAAAATAGGGTTGTAAATATTTTGATATAAGCGACAAACTGTAATTATAATGCATTTTAAAAATTACCATTGCATTTCTGATAGACCTTACAGTTTTGTGGTGGAACAATAATTGCGATAAATTATTGTGGTAGATAAAAAACCAACTTTTCATTCGGTCATTAATAATGTTTTACATTAAAACAATTACTATTTTACAGTATCTAGTTAAATAATAAATAATAAAATAAAAAACAGTATCTAGTTAAGCGTAATAAAAATGTTAACTAATTCTCTACATATGTGTATTTATCTGGTTTATCATAACAATAAAAAATTCCAGTAAAACTGCATGGAAGCCAGTTTCTTAGAAAAGTAATTAAAACAACTAATTTTCGTACGTGTGCGTAAAACGTTCAAACGGCTCTTTACGGGCACATGTTTGTAAAGTTAACATAAATTTTTCAAATTAACCACTTACCGTTGTTAAGAGACAACGTGACTCCCGTAACGCCCCGCAGTATCCCAAGAAACTGACGATAAACATGAAAGCTCCAGCAGCAATTAAAATATACGACGCTTGTTCTATCACAGTTGGTTGTGTGAATTGCTGAAACAAAAAAAAAAGGTAAATAAAGAGATTTAATGCAAAAAATATGTTTTAATGTGAAAATTGTTACACATTTACTTTAAATAAGTTTCGATTCTTTAGTGTTCGTGCTCCACGTTCTCATTCGCTTAGTCTAAACCTACCTTTATTCTCATAAATTCGAAATTACAATTATATAATTATTAAGTATATCAAATATACTTTCCGCCCTTATTTTATATTTTATTTACAGAGGTGTAATAATTATAACCAACTGAAACAAGTACGCATTTGATAGTCGAATTCCTCTTTGCTGTTTAAACTAAACAATGTTGCCAATTCTAAACATAGTACCTATTTACGAACCTGTAGTGGTCACTTAGATTAATCTTTTGAATAGACTAATGATTCTACAATTTGTTTTTAACGTTAGGCAGATGAAACTCTTAAACATATAAATAAATAATTGCGCCAAAGGAATTAGAATGACAGACATGCATAACGACCGCAGGGAGGTAATTATTGTTATCAAATATTACTCTTAACTTTTTAAATAATTTTCGAAAGCGTGTCGTTCTTACAAAATTTTAAATATTAGAAAAGGTTAAAAGATATGTGATGCTTATGGAACACAAATATAGATAGTAACCAACCGGCTAAGGGTGGAAAAAGTAGCAGGGTCATAAAGCAAAAGATAGCGTATTTCAACAAAAAGAAATCGCTGCTTCTGTGGTCGAAAATTGGCTGATATATTAGATATCTAGGATCAAGGAAGTGCAAGAATTCAAGTTGGAAAAAGTAGCAGGGTCATAAAGCAGCAAAGGATAACGCATTTCAACAAAAAGAAATCGCTGCTTCTGTGGTCGAAAATTGGCTGATATATTAGATATCTAGGATCAAGGAAGTGCACGAATTCAAGTTGGTAAAAGTAGCAGGGACATAAAGCAAATAATAATCCAGAGTCGAATCGATTTTAACAAAAAGAAATCGCTTCTGACCATATTGATTACTTTTGTTATTCGAACCTATAAGTACGTTAATTTATTCATTTGTATAAAATGCCAAATATATTTTCATATTTTACATAACCGGCTGTGAGAGAGGTTCAAAGTTTGTTTTCTTTGTTAGATAATTATGTGAACAAATATCTAAATACGTTTTGCCTGTTGTACTTTCTTTAGTTACTTTCAAAACGCTTTAACCGAACCATTAAAATTCAATTATCGCCTCAACTTTCTATTTCGAAAAATCTGTGTGTATTACTATAATAGTACAATAACAAAACATTCCCAATTCCTAATCGACCAATCGTTAAACAAAGATTACGTTCGACATTAGATTTCTATTGTAAATGTATATTGCTGCGAAAATGTTCTCGACCGGAACTTATTACAACGTGCATGCTCACTTAATCTTATTAAAAACAGAGAGGAAGGAAGTAACACAAAAAATATACACCTGCTGAATCGGCTAAAAGTCCTTATTAAAAAGGTACACCATCTTCCTGATTATCATTACTTTTCTTATTGTCTTGCGTATCAAATAATCGATCTTATTAATGCACCCGGTCGAGGACATTTCGAGTCAGTCCTTAATTAACGAAAATTTACCATTATTTTACTCTAGTGTTATCTATTGCTATTATCTATAGAAAACTATACTATAGGGTTGTTCGGAAAGTCATTTCGTTTTTTCCCGACAGAGGATTTAATTGTATTCTTTTGCACCCAACTTCACATTTAAGCCGTATAATTTTGATATGCTTTGAGAGCTCATATAGCAAGGCTTGTGTGTGAAAAATTCCAATTAATTCTACGCAGTAGTTTTTGGTTGGTGCCCTTTTAAATATGGAGAGCGATAAGCAGCATTTTCGACATATCTTACTGTTTTACTACAGAAAGGGTAAAAATGCTGTTCAAGCCAGAAAGAAATTGACTGATGTGTATGGAGAAGGTGTGTTGACAGTACGCCAGTGCCAGAACTGGTTCGCTAAATTTCGATCCGGCAATTTTGATGTCGAAGATGCACCACGTTCGGGAAGGCCGGTTGAAGCTGATAAAGACGCGATAAAGGCATTAGTTGATGTGAACCGGCGAATAACAACACGTGAGATCGGATTGAGGTTAAATTTATCAAATTCAACAGTTTATGACCACTTGAAAGGCCTGGGATTATCCTCGAAGCTCGATGTATGGGTTCCCCATGTTCTCACAGAGAGAAATCTGTGTCGCCGCATTGACGTCTGCGATTCGCTTCTCAAACGTCACGAAAATGATCCGTTTTTGAAGCGCATCATCACTGGGGACGAAAAATGGGTTGTATACAACAACGTCAAACGCAAGAGGTCATGGAGCAAAAAAGATGAACCGGCTCAAACCATTTCCAAAGCCGATATTCACCAAAAAAAGGTGATGCTGTCTGTTTGGTGGGATTTTAAAGGAATCGTTTTTTTTTAGCTTTTACCGGATAACACAACGATTAATTCGGAAGTCTACTGTCATCAGCTGGACAAACTGAATGATGCACTTCAACAGAAAAGGTCAGAACTAATCAACAGGAAAGGTGTAGTGTTTCACCAAGACAACGCGAGACCTCACACAAGTTTGGTCACTCGCCAAAAGCTTTTACAGCTTGAATGGGATACAATGCTACACCCACCATATTCTCCAGACCTGGCACCATCGGATTATTATTTGTTCCGGTCACTCCAAAATTTTTTAGACGGTAAAACCTTCACCTCAAATGAGGAGGTCAAAAACCTCCTCGATCAGTTTTTTGCCAGCAAAGACCAAAAATTTTATGAGCGTGGAATTATGCTACTACCAGAAAGATGGCAAAAGGTGTTGGACCAGAACGGTCAATATATAATTTAATAAAGTATTTGTTTATTATACGAAAACTGTCTTTCATTTCCACAAAAAAAAAACGAAATGACTTTCCGAACAACCCTATAATTTCAGAAATAATGTTTTACACGAAAAGTTAAATAAATAAACTTAAACTAGGTGAATGTGGTGCTAAAAAGGGAGACTTATAAAATTTAGAACACTACGTGGGTTGATCAATTGACCCCAGGTCCCTGTCATTCATTCATTCATTCACTTTTAATGGGCTTACGAGCTTGTTATTTTCCTATTTAAATTGGCTATAATTTGCAATTATTAAAATAATTGATTATTATTTCTATTATTTTAATACTATAAGCGAAAACGACATCACGACACGCCACGTTAAAACTTTAGCATAAATGACAATTTAAAACCCGCTGAATGTTTAAAAATTCCGAGGAAAAGGAGTTACAGAACAAACCAAAACAATTAGCACTAGTAATTGGTCGATTCGACACTGTTTATGTCAATGGCCACAAACTAACTAAAATGTTGTTGAAATTCTGTTAGATAATGTTGTATTTGTAAAGAACTAATGGACAAAAACCAACACGGTCAATACTTTTTTGAAAAATTTTAACGATTCTGCCAAATATCAAAATATTCTATAAAACATTCACCAAAAATCAGATTCCTGAAAATTAAAATAAATTTCAAAATGCAAAAACCTAAAATATTTCAAAAAATCATGCCCAAAAATCAATCAACTGTGTTCAAAAATCAATGAATTATAAATGAATTGATCCAAACACAAATTATTCAAGAAAACTTTATCCTAAAACTACAGTAGAAACTGTTATCTAAATATTGGATTATTTGTGTCATTTCCACGAACTTTTTTTATCGAATACAACACAGTAATGTCTAATAATAAAAATACAAGATTCCTCACATTGGATAGCACCGAGTTCATACGGAGCGTTAACGACCGAATAAGAAAAAGTAATTAACTTAATTTATAGTCTGCTCCATTCTTTGGAGAAACTACATTACAAAAGAGATAAAATCAGAATAATAGTGAAAGCACTACATCAACCAATACGAGTGCACCTACACATATAATTTAAATAATAATTAAAATCATTTTTAGACAAATGTGCAGTCTGAAATATGTTCAAAATTTGAAACATTTTTTTGGCTAAACGTCTAAAGGGTACGGAAGGTTTCAAAAGGATTTAAGAAACGGTGTGAAAAACGTGAACGGTGGGATTAGTAGAAAAGAAAACATTAAAAGCATTTAATTGTTAGATGTGGAGTTACAGGGAGATGGCGAAAATACATATTTTCAATCAATGTAATCAGTAAGATTAGTATTACATGTGAAGTCTTGGGCTTCAAAAATACAACAGCAAAAGTGGTAGACAAATGTATGCCTTATATGTAATATCAATACCTACTTGCTTGTGTAAATAACATATGCAAACAGCGATTAAGTACAAAGAATACTTGGAAATTAACAACTGCACATCTGAATTAGTAACAGAGGTTAACATTTGACCCCAGTGCAATGCTGACTAATTTGCACAGAAGTCTAATTGGAGAAAAACATGTATAACATCATACCTACACTATTTATTTTTGTTTATACTGATCAATTCAGTATGTAAATACACCAGATAAGTCATCCGATGTCAAGCAGTACTGTCTATTTCAATTAAAATTATTCAGAAAATACCACAAATGGCGCGATAAACGCCAGTATCATCGTACTACAGATGGCGTTTATCGCGCCATTTGTGGTATTTTCTAAAACGCGCTGTTAAGACAACAGGTAAAGGTTGGTCTGTGTTCTGTCGGAGCTGTCTGCGACGCGCTGATGAGATCCAAAAAGATCGAAATCGCGATCCGCGTCTGGCAGTTTCGACAGAATA